CAGAGAGGACACGTTGAAGAGGTCAGAGGTCAAACATGGACACATCTGACTGGTCTGTTTGTATCTTGACCCTGAGAACAAGGACACTGAAGGAGAATCTGTCATTATACATGGAGCTGACCCTGTGTGTGTGTGTGTGTGTGTGTGTCTGTGTGTGTGTGTCTCTTCAGTCCATTAATAATAAGGTTCGTCTCTCGCTGGCACCAACAAGTCTACGACAGACAGAATAATCAGTGCAGCCTGTCGGAGGCTTCAGACATTTTCATCTCACAATAAACTGTGAATCCGACCAGGACGATTTTACAAGACGTGATAAAATAAAGTGATGCGTATTTTTTTTCAGTTGAAGTATTTGTGTGTTCATTCATTTGTTCAAACAACGATGATCTTTGTTTGCCACAGACACGCCTCTCGATGAAGACGCAGTCTTTTAATAACGTCTCATTGTCTGGAGATTCTTGTAAACACGGATTCCGAAGTTGGTCTGATTGATTCTCTTGTTAATTCACCATCAGCTCCGTCAAACACATCAGACCTCGTAGGATTGTTTTTCGAAGGCTGAGTCGTACCTTCCGCCGCTGGGTAACTCAAATTCTTCTCATTTTTTCTTGAGGAATCTTGTGAGTGAGCTGATTTTATTTTCAGTGCAACACTTCAGAGTGTTTTTCATCACTGGTTAAGGTTTGATTAAGTCAATTCCAAGTAAAAACTACTTAGTTGTGGTTCAGATCCTGTTGGTGGTTAAGTGAACAAGCGTTAACTACTGATTGACTAGAAAAGGTCAAAGTACAAGATAACAACTTGTTTTCATCCTCACAAAATATTCATTTATTCACGTATTTTTAAAAAGAACAGCGTGATGCCTGAGTACACTTCCAGCAGTTTTTTATTTCAGTGTTGGTTCGAGTCTCTTCAGAGTCTCTGCTGGAACTGACCTTGAATCCTGACCTGAGTGAGGACACAGATTTCCCAGAGGTAAACAAACGACTGTAGGTAGAGAAACGTGAGCGGCTGAACGAAAATGAACAAACTGTCCTGGAGGTCACTTTGTCTGAGCCTCGATTAATGAAACATGACTCAGAGTTCGTCGACCCTCCTGCTCGGCTCCTCTTACCACCATTTTCTTCTTTTGTGTTCCTGCCAGAGGTGACGCGTCAGGTAATGGCTTCCTCAAACAGCTGGAGGGGGTCAGGGGTCATATGACAGTGGCCCCCCCCCGGCCAATCAGCAGCAGCTACAGAGCGCTCAGCATTCCTGAAGGTCTGCGGATTGTTTGATATCGGATAACAGTGAATCGCTCGCAGCGTCACCTCCTCTGCATTCTGACATTCTGTGGCTGAAAGAGCCGGTGTTCTTTTCCTTTTCACTTCAGGGACCAGATGAAACAAACAGATCTTCAAACGTCTCCAGAATCTTAACACAGGAGACATCACTGGTGTGTGAAGTCTCCCGCGTGCACCTCTGTGCATGTGAAAGGTTTTATTGCCATTATTCCAACATGGCTTCATGAACAGGGTTTGGTTCTGAAATCAGGTAGAACCTCCTCCACAGACTCATTTCTGTTCCTGAGCTCTGAACTGAAGTAGCTGCTCTGCCTCCAGGCAACGCAAACATCTCCGCGTGTCTAGTTGACGTTAAATTTCACTCTGGTGGCAACACAATCTCTACATGGCTCCGACAGCGCCAAACGTTAGGCTACAGTTAGCTCGTAGCATTAACTAGACAACAAAATGCCTGCAAGCTAGACGGTCCAAAGTGGAACTCCATGTAAAGAAGGAATACGACGAACTTAGTGAAGCACCTGATAACACACGGATACATTTGAATGATGTTTGATTTCCTGTGTGACCTCATGACGAGCACATCAGCTGGTTTAGGAGCTTGAATCGAAACAACAAACCTCAAACAAGCTAAAACAACGTGATTCCCTGCTCTCAGAGATGAGTTTCAAATTTGACTCTGGCATGAAATACAAAGGGCTGACTCATCCGTCATCTGGATCCTTCCTGCTCGTTATCGCCTCACTTCTGGCAGCCTGCTCTCAACCACTTACAGCTAATGGCGAGTGGAGGGCCGAGATGGACGAGGCGGCCGTGTCCACGTGCAACGCAGGTGAGGGAGGGAGCCAGAGATTCCACTGCTGCCACGAAGAACCGAGGACGAATCATCCTACAAATCCCTGATTGGTTTTGACGAGCTCAACACGGGACCTGTGTGATTCACTGAGCGAATCATGACGTCTGATACCTCGAGACTGTCACTGACGTAGATTAACACAGATTAAATGTTTCCTATCAATCAAACATCGTAGAAGTGTCGTCTGTCACAGCGACAGTGGATGGAGTAGGTCAGGGGGGGTGGGGGGCTGTTGTTTGGGGTCAGCCGTGTTTAAAAGTATCTGCCTTTGTTCAAACCCCATCGAGTGTGAAAAACGGGGGCAGAGCCTCGTCTCTGCTCCGTCAGGACAAACACGTGGACGCCATTAAAAGGGAAACATTAACCTGGGGTTGGTTAATGTTGGTTGTTGACAAGTCTGTTTGTCCATAAACAGAAGAGTTCTAACTTTGACTTATTTGGGAAATAAGAAGAAACTGGGAAGAATAAAATCAGAGAGTGTTTAAATAGTATATCTGAGACAGAGGGCCCCCTGGTGGCAGAGTTTCCTCAGGCTCAAGGTAAAACATTATTCATGCTGATGTTATTAAATCAAACTTTGTCCAAACCACAGACAGAATGTGGATGTAAAACTGAAAGCAGAACCAGTGTTTGTTCCAGTCTGACCTCATTGAGACCAGTGAGAGTCAGCAGATGGCACAGGTTCACGTTTCATAGTTAAGATGGTGACCGACCACAAACAGGATCTGGAATCTGAGCTACAAACCCAACACAACTTCTCCTCTTAGTCAAACACGGATTTAATGACATCATCCAGCGTGTTTTTGTTAAAAACGAGGTTTCTGTTGTTTATTCTGCTGCAGCGGTGACCGCAGGTTTCTCACCACCAAGGACAACAGGTTACAGTTTAACTTCAAACCTTCGGTCCTGCTCGAAGTCAAATAAACCTTCTTCCAATGACTTTTCCGCTTCATTGAGTCCTAAAGTGAAACTGCAAGAAATAAATTCCTTCTTTTAGTTTCACAGAAAAAAAACGAAGAAGCGGCAGCAGAACCAAAGCAGGTTATTGGTTCTGTAAAATCTTTTTTCTTTTCACATAAATCACCGATGACATTTCCATCTTGGGTTTAGATGCTGGTGTGAAAACTCCAGTATCTGGGAATCACAGGTTGTTTGACACAGAGCTGAATTCATGTGCTTCTGTGTGGGAAGTGATTTACTACACAAATCATTATCTAATCTTCAGTCGCAACATAGCATCTATATTATATTTATATATATTTCTATACAAACCAGTGCACTTTGAGTTTCACCTGCGACCACTGAAATTGAATCAGTTCATTTAGGTGACAACTGGTCACAATTTGAAAAATTCTCACAAGGCAGATATTTTGTTTAAGAGAAAACATGTTTCGTGAGGTCACCGCGACCTTGACCTTTGACCCTTTCATCACCAAAATATAATAAATTCATCCGTGAATCCAAATGACTGTTTGTGACAAATATGAAGATCTTCCCTCAAGGTTTTCTGGAGATATTGTGTTCACAACAATGAGATGGACGGACAACCTGAAGACATATTGCCTCTGGACACTGTTACCAGCGCGGAGGCCTAACCACACGAGGATTTCCGCCCTGCGATTATACGTTTCGCCTAATTTTGTGCGATTTCAGTCGACATGTAATCTTTTCCAGACTCATGAGGTCAACGTGAGCTTTTACTGTGACGATCTCATCGGTTCATCCAGAAATCCAGAAATCTGAAGAAATTCCCGACAGGTGTTTCGTGAGATTTATCGTGTTCACGAACAGAAATCAATCAACATCTAACTTTCGTTCCAAAACACAAATTCTTCATGAACTTATTTGACCTTTTTTTTTAATTTTTATTAACGAATTATCATTTCTCACGTAAACGTTCTTTTCCGCCCCCTGCACCACGTGAGGAAACACCACAAAGAGACGCCCCCTGCCCCTCCCCCCCACCTCCCCACCTCCCCCCCACCCGGCCTCGCCCCTCTCTGGTTTGGGAGGATGCTCCTCATGCATCTCGGGCGCGTTCACAGTCTCACACACACACATGAACACGCACGCGCAGCCGCATCGCTTTGCATAAAAGGCTGAAATTGCTTCCAGCTGCAGAGGAAACAAAGATTTCTGCTGTGCACGCTCACTAGTTCCGCGTGCACGGCCATTGGTCCCGCGTGCACGATCACCGGACCCGCGTGCACGATCACTGGTCCAGCGTGCACGCACACACACACACACACACACACACACACACACTGACTCTGCAGCTGATTTCTGCTTCATAAACTCAGTGGAACAGTTTCATGCAGAAGCTTCTGAAACACAAAGTCAAACTGAGCGTGATGAAGACGATGAGGAAGATGACGAAGATGAGGATGATGAAGGTGCACCCTGTCCTGCGCATCCTCAGCCCGGACAAACCCGCACAACAGCGGCTCCACGGAGCAGCTCCGCACCGCGGCAGAGCGGAGCAGAGCGGAGGCCGAGGCCGGAGAAGAGACTCACCAGTCGGTGTCGGAGGTCTCGTCGATGACGTCCTGGTAGGAGGTGAGCAGGGCCAGTCTGTTCTTGCCGAGATTCACAGCCATGTTGGAGTCTGAGCACACATCCAGACCTCTGCTGATGGAGAGAGACACGGAGCGAGGGAGGAGGAGTGAGAGGAGGAGTGAGGGGGGAGAGAGAGGGAGACAGAGGGAGACAGAGAGGAGGAGGAGGAGGAGACAAAGACTTCATCCCAGAGGCTGACGGGTCCTAGCGCCTGAAGCTCCTGGTCCAACCAGATATAAAAATACTGTCATGATTCTGATGAAAACACTTTGAATCTAAACTCAAGACGTTTCAATCATTTATACTTTATTTATTTGATTATGAAATTCCACAATTCAAATAGTCATGGTTCAATAGTCGAGTTTCCTTTGAATCAAAGCCTAAAAAAAATACTTTAATTAAATCACATTTGATTTGTCTCATCGATGTTAACAAGCAGCAACGTCTTCTGTTCTTGACTCAACCAGAGTCAAACTTTATGAGCAGTAAATGAAGCTCAGAGTCACATGTGAGGATCCGTCTCTCAGGACACAAGGTCAATAGATGATGATGGAACTGAACACATCATCACAACAGGATTTACTACGTTGATGAGAAGTAACATCAAGTTTGAAGTATTTATACAGTTATTGTCAGTGATGGTGGAAGATGTGAGGAGACATGTTGTATATGAAGACGTCTTGTTTTGACCATGGTGAGTTTATGTTCTTGTGACAGTCATGTTTAACTTTCTGTTACGTCTTCAGAGTTTTTATTCTAAAATTCATTTGGTTGTTTTACGTGCGACAGTCACCAACTGATGATGTCACATGAGTGTAAAGTCAATTTGAATTTGACAGATATAAAAACGTAAAGTGAGTTTGACCTGTGACATCATAACACTGAGCTGGAAACATCTTCATCATCATCTTCATTACCGTCTGCCGATTCACTGTTGATGATGTAAAGAAGAAACCATGAATCAGCAGCAGTTAAAAAAAACCACTTAGTTCATCTGACTCAGCAGTTTTTTTACTTCAACACAATGTTTCATCAGTGACGCAGCAAAAAACCACAACATTTGGTTTGTGTCCATCTTCATCAGCTGCTGAAAAAGATTTGTAGAGATAATTAACTGTCGGCTCCTCTGTCGGAGAGATTATCACGTAATGGCCGTATCCATGGCAACACATTTGAAAATAAAATTCACTGTCTCAGAGTCGATTTACAGATTTAACTCACGTTCATGTTTTCACTCTGTTTCGTCATCATCACATTTTCTTATATTCCCTTAAAGGTACAGTGTGTGGAATTCAGTGATATCTAGTGTTGAAGTGTCATGTTGCAGCTGAACACCCCTCACCTCACCCTCTCCTTCCAAACATGATAAAGAACCTGTGGCAGCTTCAGTTGTCATAAAAACTCAAAAGGTGTTTAGTCTGTTCAGTCTGGACTAATGTAAAAAACATGGCGGCCTCCGTAGAGAGGGTCCCCTCCATGTAAATATAAAGTATTTGAATATAAAGTATTTAAATATAAAGGGTCTTTTCTGGGGTAAAGAAAACTACAATTCATACAATTTAGATGAAACGAACAAGTGAAAACATCATGAGGATTATTCTACATTAAAGTTCTGCCAATAGTTTCCTTTCACCTGAATCTTATACACTGGAGCTTTAAGTTACTGAAGTCAAACACAATTCGTCTTTTTGGATTCAGAATCTTCTTTATTTCTACATTTTCACACTGAACTGGTTTTTTAATTATTAGTTGTATGAACTCATTATTATTTGTGTCTGATTTACTTCCTCACTTCTTCTTCCTGGTTTGAAACATGTGGCTTTCTTTCTCATTTACATTTCTTTCGCTGACTGTTGAACCGACTGTTACATGCACGCTGCCACCTGGTGTATCAGAGAATGTCAAACAGGATATTTTTCATAATCAATGTCCTGAAAATTAAGGTAAAAAAATGATTCTATTAAACATTCTAGGATTTTCTACGAATTCAGTGCTTCCCTCACCCAATCTCCATTTGGACCTGGTACACCCAAAAGATGTGTTTGAGGGTGGAGCCTGTTTAAATACAGAGGAACAGGAAATAGACCAAACCAAGTTGTGCTTCGTCATGGGGATGGACGAGGTTTGAGTTGTTGAACATGTTGTTTCCCCCTGAAGTTTTCAAACGGTTTGATTTAACTTTCTCTCGGACAAAATGTGACAAAACTTAAAACCAGGAAATGTCGGAAGTAGATAAAATACACTGATGAGTCACAGATGCACGTGGCTGCTGATTGGACGAAACCTCTGACACACCCACCAAACAAGAGAAAACATAACTCGAAGCTCGTTGACGCGTTTAACACGAAAACTGTAACAAAGCGTTTTGATGTTGAACGTACGTCCTGCAGGGGGCGCCAGAGCTTCAGCATTAATAAAAGTCTGCACGCTGACACGCTGAGATTTTTATCCTCCAGTGAAGAGATGAAAAAATCAAGTCAGATGAAAACAAACAAAAACATGTTTTATTGGTTTTTGAGGTTTAACAGTTGGTTTTCTCTTGTTTACGTTGTCGTGTCGTTTCCTCTTCTCCGTCTGCAGAATTAACATCATCAACGTTTGATATCAACGAACCGAATCTTTTATTCCACCACAGTGTAAAGAAATGTTCTTATTTATATTTTCTTCTCCAGTTTTAAAAGTTTTGGTTCAAATTTGAAGCGGACTGAAAGAAGCTCTAAGGTCTTTTTAATAATTCTGCTCTGGTTTCATCAAACCACGCTGGAACCTTCGGTTTGTATTTTAACCAAAGTCGTAATTTGGAGACGTGTAATTATCTTTAATTATAGAGACGCCTGTTTCCATCTCATGACAGAATCGGTTGAATATTCTTTCTTTCTGTGAAACTTGAAGCAGAAACACACTTTAGTAATTCTTCCATTTTCTGCGTTGAGATTTATAGTTTTGTTCTTTGTTATTTTGTCCTTTAAGATAAAGACACTTTATGACTGTATCGCAGCTTCAGACTCATCGTGAAGAAAAGACTGAAGCTTTGTGATGTGGACACGTCTTTAAACTCGGATCATTGCAGCTGAAGATTCTCTGACTCTTTACTAACATTCAAATGAATTCTCTCCAGATGTTCAATTCTGCTGCAGCTTCACTTTTGAAGAAGAACTTTGATTCCTCAGTTTGTCTCAATAAGTCGGAGAAAACATTTGATCATTTGATCCAAAACTCTGAAGAATCTGTTTTTCTGGAATCTAGTTTCTGTCACATCCAGATTCCCTCAGGTTTAACTTCTGCTGCTCGGTCTGATCTACAACTGGGAACGTTTTCCCTGAGTAACAACTGCAGGACCTGAGGGCCCCACCTCCTCCAACCAGAGACCAGGAGACCTGTAGACCTAGAAACCTGGAGACCTGTAGACCTAGAGACCTGTAGACCTGGAGACCTGATGACCTGTAGACCTGGAGACCTGTAGACCTGGAGACCCGGAGACCTGTAGACCTGGAGACCTGATGACCTGTAGACCTGGAGACCCGGAGACCCTCTTTAAAAGCTCATAAAACACACTCAGCTCGTTTTCAGGAGAAAGGCTGAGACGCCTATTTATTCTCAAGAGTATTTCATTAAACAAGTATTTAACCAGCTGACCAATCACAGCAGACTTTATCAGGAGGGGGGGGGGTCTTAAAGAGACAGGAGTTAAAACCAAGAGTTTGAGACAGAGGCTGAAGAGAGGAGCTGCAGCGATGGACAGTCTCTGGACAGTTTCAGTAACTTCAGAGCATGAAAACATTTTAAAAGTAAAACACTTGTTCAAACAACCTCATTATATAAAAGTTAAAAGTCCATCGTTCAGGTTTTTTCCCTTCAAAGCTCTTTTTTTGTGAACAGGAAAAAAAAAATGTCTCTTTTTTTTCTCATTTCCAGGAAAACTTGACATTTCAGATTCCGCCTCCCTGGCCTGGTGGAGGTGGCCTGTTGCCGTGGTGACTCGGCCGAGTTGAACCCCACACGGGGCGGCCTCAGTGTTTTTTTATTTTTCTCTCAGGCTCGTCTGGCAGCGAGCCCACATACCTCGACTCTGAGGATAATAGAGGAGGGGGGGGGGCGCTGGTGGGAGCTTTAATTGGAACAAACAGACGAAGGTGAAGCTCAAACTCACTTATTCAGATTTATTCATCCTCGTCTTCACTTCATCTGTTTGTTGCTGAACTTTAAAACACTTTTTCAGATGGAAACACGACGACAGCAGCTCTTTAATAAACAAATACAAATCTTTCACACAGAGCACGTTGACTTTACATTTTCTGTTTTCACATCATAAATAATAATAATGATATAAATAATATTTCACTCAGGAGAACAAACCCTGTAAAGACTGTAAATAAAGATGGACGACATGACAGCTCATTTTCTGGGCTGAAATGTCTCCAGGACGTCTGGGCAGATTTTCATGGTGCCCAGAGGATGAATCCTAATGATTATAGTGATCCTCTGACTTTCCCCCCTGTGCCCCCTGCTGGTCAAAACATGCACGAAGATCTTTTTAAACAGCTAAAACGAAGCATCAACCAGATGGACGACATGGCAGCCACAAAAAGTGAAGCCAAAGTGTTACCATCACCCCCTGGTGGCTGGCTGAAGCATAAGTTATAAACTCCCTCCTCCGTGTTAGCAGACGGGACATGGACCAAATGACGTCAAACCAGCAGGATGGCAGCGTTCGTATCTGAGATGTTTTTGCTTAATTTTGTTGGGGGTGGAGTTTATGACCTAAACTGCAGCCAGATGATTTTGGCTTCACTTGCGGGAGCCAACAAGTCGTCCATCTTTATTTACAGTCAATGGTTCCTCCGCTTCGTCCTCAATGTAAAACTGTGAAGTCATGAAGAATAAAAGCCTTTGTTGTTTCCTTTGATTGTTGCTGCTCCCTCTTTGTTCTCAGACACTCCTCTCTGGCAGGAGGACGATCGATTGATTTATTGATCAGTGCTGAGGGAGGCGGAGACAGATGGAAACAAACAAAAGAGAAGAGAAGAATCTCCGTCTTCCATCTGGGGTTCCTCTCCTTCTCTGATTTCTCCTTTTGTCTCAGAAATCACCTGAAGAATAAATCGGCTGCAACGTTTTGTATTTTTAAAATATGTGTTCTTTTATTTTGTAGGTCGCTTCATAACAACATTTATATTTTCATATTGTTGTTTCTGATGTACGCTCACACACAGACACACACAGACACACACACACAGACACACACACAAACACATCTTTCCTATTTCAGTGTAAAAATTCACACCAAAGAGGAAATGAACACATTCCTCAGCCTTCTGCAGGAACATTGTTTCCTACACTGTGTGTGTGTGTGTGTGTGTCTGCCTGTCTGTGTGTGTCTGTGTGTGTCTGTTTCACTTGAACAATGGATCCTGACTCAGTGTTTAACGTTGAGTGATTTCAGTCTCGAGCTTTTTTATTTAAAGTTTGATCAGATTTTTCAGGATTTAAAACCTGATGACGACTTTGAACCATTTCTTAAATTGAATGTAATAAAAACAGAGAAAAGAATCAGCGATTAAAAAACACATTCAAACCGATGATGGTTCGAACTCAATAAAACGTTTAAAGTAAACGACAGAGGTCAAAGGTCAAAGTGGAAATAAAATAAAAGTTCAAATAGGAAGTTTCTCGTCAGTGCAGAAACAGATGCAAATCAGACCTTTGCTGCTCTCAAGTGTTCGGTTTGAAGAACTGCAGGAGATGA